GAGACATGGGCATACCAGAGAGGATCCAGTAAGGGCCACAAGGATCATTAAGGGACTGGAGCATCTCTCCTATGAAGAAAGGCTGAGCAAGCTGGAAAAGTTCAGGCTGGAGAAGAGCAGGCTCAAGGAGAACCTTATCAATGTGTATAAATACTTGAAGGGAGGGTACAACGAGGAGGGAGCCAGGCTCTTTCCAGTGGTGCCCAGTGACAGGGCCGGAGGCAATGGGCACACCTTAAAACACAGGAGGCTCTTTCTGAATGTCAGGAAACATTTTCACCAGGAGAGCAACTGAACACTGGAATACATTGCCCAGAGAGATGGTGTAGTCTCCATCCTTGGGGATATTAAAAAGCCACCTGGACACATTCCTGGGCAGCCAGTTCTAGGTGGCCCTGCTTGAGCAGGGGCCTGGTTCAGACAACCTCCAGAGCTGCTACCAGCCTCAGCTGTCCCATGATTTCCCAGAGGAAGCAGCAGACAAACAGAGTTTTCCCTCTCCCCCCAGTTTACACAGGTACAAGACCAAGAGAATAGGTAATGGATTTTTGTTCAGCCAAGGAGTCACTTGTCACTACCTGGCCTCACGTCACTGGTCTGACAGCACACAGGACAGAGGAGCAGAAGGGACCTTGCATGGCACTGTTGGCCCCTTGCTCCCACTAGAAATTGTGTTGTATTTATTCTGCGGACCAACAAGCTCCCTTTAAACCTCACTTAGGTTGCCACTGTGTACTGTGGTGAACAGCAGCAGCCAGAAACGCAGCAGGGGCAGCAGCTGGCCCCAGGCATTGGTCACCTGTACACCAGCACTGACGCTTGCACAAGCAGGACAACTGCCTGCATGCCTGACGCTCTTCTGACAACCAAAACAGCCTCTTAACACGGGTACCAACAAAGAACACCAGATCCAAGACAGAAACTGCAGATAAAGCTTCTCAGCCAGCAGCTCTGGTGCCAGGTATTCATTGCTGAGCCCCACCTACCCGACAGAGCCAAGCGACAGGCACAAGACATGCTGACACTTGTGCTATGAGCAGATTGCAGGCTCTGCACTCGCTCTGCTACCAACTGCAAACTTCACCAAACCCATCTGCATGCTGGGGTGATCCTCCCCGCACTCCCCAACCAGCTCTGAGTCACCCAGCTCGCTCAGGTGAGGACTGCAAGGGGCACAGCTGGGCAGAAAGAGTTCACCACAGTTTTGGGAGAGCTGCTCTGGAGCACCCAACAGTGCTGGGCACCCTCTTCCAGGACAGACAGGAACAGGGAACTTCAGATGAAGCACGTTCCTTCCCCATGTGTGGTTTTGGGACAGCATGGCAGGAAGTTACTTGTCTCCAAAACTACATCAGAGGATCCTCAGGCATTTGCAGCCACTAAGAATCACACACTGTACTTGCCAGCATTAATCTCTACATGCTGACCAGCAACAGCAATAACTTTTTCCTTCCCTTGTTTCCTTGTTTCTGTCCCTTGGAAAAGGGTGACAGAGATGGTCCATGTTAACACAGTACTCACGTGCTGCTCAAGACCTGCTGTCATCGCCTGTAAACCTGAAGCCACTGGTATGCAACACATCGAGACTTTGTTTTAGGCATGAGCAGAACTGCACTGTGCTCATTTGATTTGCATTAAATATTCCCTGCAGATCAGAGACATTAGTTTATTCACAGAAAAATGAGATTTTCTTGAATTTACCACATTTAACTTCCATCAAGGAAAGTAACAAACCCTCTTATCACGTGAAGTGGGGAGTACCTCAACAGAAGGTAAATTTCCTCTGCTTCCAGTTGTCTCATGTGAGACAAATTATATGCATCACTAAAAGCCAAAGAGAATAATATTCAAAATAGTCTTTTTCATGTGCTCCTCCTCTCATATACTGTTGTTTCAACACTGTTAAGAACATTACACAACGTTCTTGCTTAAAAGCCAGATTGATCTTTTCAACGTTTAAGCCCACCTATTCAAAAAGTCATTACAGGTAACTTTCAGGTCAGATGCACGAGTAATACTTTCACAGACCTATTACAGATTTTTTTTTTTTTACTTTTAGTAGTAACTTTAGCTTCCAGACTGCAGACCCTCCAAAGCCCATTTCCACTGAAGCCAGTTAGTTGCCTTTCCTTCTGCACCTGGCAATAAGCACCACGGCATTTTGCATGCTCTCAGTAGACTGAGAGACCAGGTCTTTCCTTACAGACAGTGTTTGTTTTCTCAGTGTAGCACTTAGCTCTGTTGTCTTCCTCATTCCCAGCACAGTGTACACATCCCACAACCTGCTGTAACACCACAGGAGCGCTCACATCGTCCTGGTCACACTGGAGAGGCAGGCTCAGCCCTCAGTCATTTATCTTCTAGGGTAATACCCTGATAAATCAAGTATGCAGCAAGCCAGGTGGGGAAGGAAGGAAATTACCCATATATTTACACAAATGGAAGCAGATATCCCAACTCATTTTGGAGTTCTCATTCTGGAGAGAGCACAAGCCCGGAGTGGGGCAAACAGGTACCAGAAGGAACTGACTGCTCTTTCCAACAGACAAAGCACATCTCCTTCCTTTGCTGCTGGACACATTTCTCAGAGACTGCTGATGCTATGCAAACCTGATACAAGCCCAGAGGTTAGAAGTGCTCAACAGCAGCACCAGGCTCTATAAATAAAATAGCCAGCAAGCCCTAACTCTTATTACAACGCAGCCTATTATTAAATTTGCATAAAGGCAACAGCTTTTGGAGGCAAAAATCTAAATAGTGAGTCTAGCAGCCAGATGCTAAAATGAATCAGCAGCAAGACGCTAACACCTGTAACAGAGCTGACCATATCTACTTTTCATCAGCAAAATAACTACCTAAGAAAGGTCAACAGATGCTCTTGAAGGTCTGTCTGTTGAAAGATGTAAGCCCTTGAACTCATTAGCATTATGCCTCAGAATATCTGAATAAAATCAGCTCTTGCTTTCTGCCTGAACACTTATTTAGTCTGGGAGTATCATCTTGTCTAAAAGGATTTGTAAAGGAGGTTTCTTTTAGAGAAGCGCTTACCATTTAATCCAGTTACCTTCTGTGTAACTGAGAATGACCCTGAACAGGGCAGGGGGGGAGGCTGTGAATGCAATCAAGCCTCTGGGCATCACCTTGGCTTTTGCTGCTGCTGCTGTTATGTGTTAGCCTTCTACACTTGCAGAAATTAACCCGAGATAGAGTTTTTAAAAATACTAGGTACAAGTAACTGCGAGTTTCATAAATGCAAAACTTCATCTCAAGGGACAGATTCGTTCATTTAGATAGGACCAGTGAGATACACTAAGTGACTAAGGAGCCTTCTGCCCCTTAGCATAGTATTTCACTGTCACTTCAACTGATTCACACTGTTAGTTTTTATCCTAAATGTGTCCAAGTACAGTTGAAGCATTTTGATGTTTACTCTGGGCACATGTAGAACTTCACAGACAATTAAAAATTTAAATAGCAATTAATCTCTATTCCAAAGACCGAGGTTCAAATTTCTTACTCGTGAATGAGTTTCAGAGAATGTTCAGGTCCCTGCAGTACAGCAGAGCTGTCTCTCATGTGCAGCAGACCCAGCTCCCAACTCCATCACACAGGGAACAGAGCAGAGATTCTTCCCAGGGAGAGCGCCAGGAGAGACCCGATGAGTCATGGGAGCCAGCTCTGGCAAGAGACCGGCTGCAGGCACAAACAAGTAGCTCAGATTTCATCAAATGAAATGCAACAGCCAGCTAAAAGACTTTCTAATATTTACTACAATTATTTGCTATTGGAGGCGAAAGCGGAGAGGGACATCAATACTCTCTTTTCTGACTGTATCTGCTAACAGAACCAGGCATGCTTCTCTCAGTTCAGGGCTTACAAGAAAATACAAAAATCGCAATACAATCCATAATCTGCTTCCACACAAACATTAACCAGCAACTACGACAAGCACCGTTTTATTTGCATTAAGAGATTAGCTAAAGCGTATCCCCCGGGGCGGGGGGAAAGCCTCACACAAATACAAGGTTTCTGACTGTGATTTTCATAATCTGCCTGTTAGAAACAGGATCTTAAAAGCCCCACTGCAAATTCAGAACTCATTAATCCACTCCTCCATTTTGTTAAACTTTGTTTCAACTGAGTAGCAGTGCTTGACCCTCAGATTACACATACAGCAAACTCAGCTGCATCAAATCTGAAAGGAGAACAACTGAATTTACCTTAATAGCAGTTTAGGTGCAAAAGCTAAAAGTAGTAGTGTTCAATTAAAATCTTCAAAAGACTGTTCCCGTTCCTTTAATATTTCCCACAAACAAACTATGAAGTACTGATAACGAGTGTGCAAAATGTGAGCTCAGGTAAAGCAAACACTTATTTTTCCAATACAGACTCTTCAAGAAAGCAGAAACTGACTGCAGAGCCTTGTGGGAGACATGCACACTGTTGTTTTTATTTCATTGAATTTTGAAAGAAAAAAAGAAGTTAAAACTACCACAAACAGAAAGTACCAAAAAACACAAAGACCGCCCATACATAATGACTATTTTATTATCTGGAAAGTGCAGAAGTTTTGGGAAGAGCAAAGTTCCTCTCCTGTTTGATACCCCAAGAAGTCTTGTCCCCAGGGGTGGTCTGACAGGACCGAGAATAGAAACCTGTAGTGTTGGAGCTGGGCCACTTCAAATGCAGGGCCATCAGCCCCTCCCAGTGACTGGAACTGTCAGTTCCAGCAGCCAACACCAGTCCAACAAAACCCAAACTTTGCAACGTGCTTGGTCATACTTCTTTTAAACCACTCTTTAAGTGCATAAGTGGCTTCTAAATCAATAACCATATTTATTTAAAAATTAGTCTTAAAACTGCAGGTTTATGCTCCCAGTTTATTGGTATCTCCTGACAGTGAATAAATCTGCTGCTAAACTACTTGTCAATGTAAAAAACAGCTGCCCTGTTTTCTCTCACCTTTGAAGACCCACAGTAAAAGAAAATTAAACACAGGCTTGAAGCTATACCATGTATTTGTAAATAAAGTAACTTGACAGAACAAGATTACAAAGTACAAAATGAGCCCTTTCAGAAAGTTTTAACTACAGGAGAAGTCAATGTTCAGTCCATTTTGTAAAGTTCTAAACAAATATCACTGAGGAATAGGAATATTTCCATAAAACACATTTTTTAATGCTTTTTAAAAAAGCTTGGACCATATACAACAATTTCAGATGAAAAATTCCACACACACACACATTGGTTTGGTTACAGCTTCAGGGGTCAGTGCAGCACAGTGCAAGTTTCATTCACAGATAAAAAGTATATATAAAGTAGGTACAAGTACATTCTCAAAATACAGGATGTGATCTAACTCTCAGAAACCCTTTTCCCACCACCAAAAGGTGCTGAAAAGCAAAACCTATGGAAACCAAGGGGAAAGTACACAAGGAGATGGACTCTTTAATACGACAAGTTAATATTTGACAGCTTAAGAAAGAAGAAACAATTGGATAAGGAAGAAGACGAGGGTTAGTCACTGGAAGGTATGTACGAGGTTGGTTTGTACTTTGATTCTACAGAAAAACTGAAGCTAGCAAGTCTCCACTTCTGAAATAGAAATACCAAGAGGTACAAATAGTAAGCACTATTAACTCAAAGTGCCTTCTCAGAACAGCCCATTTTCCCTGCTGCAGTCACCACTCCCTCATCTTTCACGGAAAAAGTATATGCAACTACTTATTTCCACTAGTCTTTCAGTATATACAATCTGGCAATTCTACAGAATCTTCCTGGTCCCAAGTCTGCATCAAAGTGTTTTTTCCCTTTGTGTATTTATTTCTAAGTAGAACAAATACTCCTCAGTGTTTCTAAAGAAAGCCTTATTTTTAGAAATTGTCTAAGCTAAAAATACGGATGCAATTTTTACCTGAAGCAATGTCTTGCAAAGTATGAATGTAGAGTGCCTCTCTATAGATGCTAAGTGCATCTTTAGCTACCAGAAATCTCATGGAGGGATACGGCTCCGAAGTACTCTGCTAATTTTTATAAAAAATATGACTGACACTTTCAGCATACAGAATGGGAGACTAGTGCAACATGCAGCATTGATTGTTTATTCAATAAATACTTAACCCAATTATTGCCAACCAAGGCAAACAGTGCAGAAATCATCATTTAGAGATACAACAGTTTAACATTTTTTGTATAAAGTCAGTTGCTGCTATATTCATACAACTATTTCAAAGAGGTTTTTCTGCTTCAAAATTGAGGTTATCATTATAAAAATACAGAAACATATTTGGGGGTTTAACATGTCTTTGCAAGTGTAATTTTTGCATTTATATGGGAACATGACACTTCTGTATTCAAGAAATTAAAATGAACGCTATGATAGAGACATTTTCTGCACTGACAATTTCATGAGAGTCCTTAAATACATCTTTCTTGGTCCTGGGTATACATTTAAAATGAAGTAACTTGCATCTCACATTTATCCTGAGGTCAGCTGTGTAAAAAGGAAAGCCAGTTTTGTAAGGATACTTGCAGGCTTCTTCTTCAAAATATGAGGTTATTTCTAAACAAGCCAATAAAACTCCTGGGGGGAAGAAAGAACCCAATACTCTCACCAGTGTTTTAAGAAAAAAAATTGTGACATTTTAGGGAATTACTTCCAAAAATATGTAGGCTAGCACACCCAAATGCTGTATCATCCAACTAAAATTTCAGTATGCATTTGCCAAATTTCAAACTTAGAAACTGTTCTGAAAAGAAAGTATATAAATCCCCATGAAGAATCTCCCTAAGCTTCCCATCTGAAGATCCCAACCCACAACACAAACTTCTGCAAGGAGAAAGCTGCTGAAGCCTGCAGGAATCTGCAGTCTCCAGATCTGCCTGCAGAGGTAAGGATGTGCCATTTGGGTCTCCAACATCCACCATGGGGTGCAATTATGACCTTGTCAAAGCTCCACTTTGAACACAGCAGTTATTTTTAATAGCACCAACAATCTCTCAGATACCAGCATTTAGGCAAATACAGACATAAATAGGTTTGCTTCTTCCTGAATCAGCACAATTGGTACAAGGCACTGCTTGGCATAGGAAGTCACAAGTAACAGCAAAACAAGAGTTTGGTGACATTTAGGTTTGTACATTGGATGACCTTGTACTTAATTATATACCACGGCTAGAAAAATAAGATAGTCTACAGGATTAACAAAAACATCACCATCCCATGCGTGCTCACAGTTTTCCTCCTTAGATCTGAAAAAAAAAAACCCACATAACATACCAATGTGAAACATTAGAAAGTATGGGTTGTTAAATTAAGGAAGTACATTTCATCTTCCAATCTTCCACAAAAGTCTAACCTAGACACAACTCAAGTAAATGAAGTTGGGAAATATTCTGATAACATTTGCACCAGTCTATCCCTGCAGAGGAGAAAAAAACCCAACTATTGTCTAGAGAATTCATAAATTGAGGCACATTGCAGTTAAAGATATTCAGGCATATTTCATGGCTAGAACAGGATTTCTCTGAGGAACCTCACTACAGACTTCCCCGAAAGCAGCTCCATATGGTTTGAAACACAACTTGCAACACATGGAAAAAACATTTGGTCCTTAATCGCTACTGTCTTCATCATCATCATCATCAGACACATCATTTAAAGATGACTTAGGTGACTGGCTGTAGGAGTCTGACCTAGTGGACTGACAAGCAGTCATCTCCCCCGTAGAAAGCAGGTCATAGCAGAAGTCGCAGATCCTCACTGGCTTGGAAGACTGGCTGGGCAGCAGAAACCTCTTTTCCGAGCAGGGCCCGCAGACGACGAAGCCGCACTTGCGGCAGTGGTGACGGCGGTTGACGGGCGTGAACTTGGCTTTCTGACAGCGCATGCACACAGTGGCTTCCGAGTCCGGTACCCACACAGCTGCGTGTTCATTGCTAGGGGTCTTCCCACTTTTGGAAAGCAAATCAGAAACACACTTATTGATGTGGTTCATCCACTCCGACTTCTCTGTAGCAGTGGCAGCATAAACTGCAAAAGACTTTGTTGGTGTCTTGATAAGCCACCCGTTCCGTAAGTCTCCCTCATCCTGGATGGAATCAATGGTGACGTTTTCCAGGGGGATTATGTGCTGTTTATTGTATTTCTTCTTCTGGATGACAATGTTACCATAAACAAGAATGTCATTGAACAGGAAGAACTGCCTTGCTTTGGGCTTCTTCCTACACAGTTTTGTTAGGACTCCCTCTCCAATCAGAACACGGCCAGGAATAGTCAGGGGTTGACCAGCTGCTCCAAAGCAGTTTTCCACTATACTTATTCTTCTAGTATTTGCTTCGCTGTTTGCCAAGCGATCCACCATCTTTCACGAGTATCCTAAAATTAGAAAAAAAAGTTTATTATTAGAACAGGACTGATTCAACAGCAAGCAGCCTTCCCCAAGGAAGGTACCAACCCTGCATTTCTTAAAATATCTAACAGGACCCGCTGGCTGAGAGGCATTGACTTGGGCTAGATTTAAATAAGTATTAACACCTAAGAATTTTTAGAACCGTTTGCTTTTGGAAAAAAGACTAATCATGTTCTGTACAGCTGACAGCTATCTTTATCTCACAGAGAGCACCTACAGCACTGCATTTGAGAGCCTCCAGCAACAAGCTAGTTCCTCTCTAGTAAGGCTACTGAGTCCTGGTTTAATGCTCGTATTTCTCTGTATAACCTCCTGCACCTACTGCAGATAGCAACAGGAAGTAGCATCCATCATTTCAAATTCTAATGCTACAAAAACATCAACTTAACTGAGCAGCCTGGAGACCCACATTAGTTTTAACACAACAAACAAATTATATAATTGCTGTTCACATAGGAAACCACACTTCCCAACTAGCTCACTACTACTCTTTTTTTTCCAGTATGTAAACCTCAAATCATGGGCCAAAACCATGAATCTACCTGCTGGAAACATTTTGTACAGGTCACAGCTTGCACCCCCCACTACATCTGCTTTGATGGCAAACTCTTGAGCCAGGAACACGGAGTGAGTCATAGCTGGTGGCTCACCACCTGCTTGCTGCTGCTTTCATTTTGCGAGAGTCCCATAGCCCCTCCCTCCTCACCTACACGAACCACATATGCATCCATCACATTCAGGTAACCTACACTGGCAGACCTGCACAGAGGACAAGCCACACAGCTCACAACTGCTCCTGGGAAAAACTAAGTTACTTGCACCAGCTCGAAGTTTAAAAGAGACTACTTCCTATTTCAGGAAGCACTAATGAACTGTATGCTCCAATTACAGACTAAAGCCCCACCTTGTTGTTTCCCAAGTAGCAAATAAGGGTTTTTTCTTGCGTGAGATAGCTAAGCATCAACAGGGAACTAAAATTAAGAAGTCACTATGGTGATTCATACCTTGGCAAACCACTCTTCAGCCTCTTTTACCCTAGAGTTTCCCAGGGAGAAGTCTGGCAAAGGCAAATCCTGCCAGTCTGATCCAGATCTGCTCCCTTCAAACTCCTTGTGAGTACAGCCATGAACCTGAACTGTTGTGTTTGATGGAGCAGTCAGATACCTGGCACAGGCAAGTACTATGGACAAACTTTTTCTCAGCATGCAGAAGATATTTGTTCCCCCAGGCCTTGCACAGGGCTGATGCTCACAACACCCTTTGCTAAAGCCACGGCTTTGAAGAGTGGGAAGAGCAGAGCAGCAAATACTCCAGTGCCTTCTACCTGCGCTTTGCAACACGATCCCAGGTTGGGAAGTCCTCTGCATTACCTACTTTTTCTTTAATCTGCACTGCCTGCTATCAATACAGCAGTAGCCTATAACTGAGAGGAAGCTGGGCTGAAACAAGGCTCAGACTCCATAGCTCTGCTAAAACTTGATCCAGGAAATCTTCCTCCTATGAATCAAAGCACAGATACTTCCTTACAAAATAGGGATGAAACCTCTCATCAGACCTATCCAAATATGTGTGTTACCTGTGAATACACACATCCACATACCCAATGTTAGGTATTATTATTGTAAGTTACTGCTTTGAAAGTGTGATTATTTTCACACTAAAGTAGTTTGACAAGTGAGCTTGCACAGATTTAACGACCTTTTTTAAGCTCTGCACATGTTACATTGTATCAAAGTCTGACACTCAAGATAGCTAGAAGAGCCTCTAAAAGTTACTTCTCAGTACTGTTTTTTGAATTTTCTTTACATGCCTCACAGCATTAGTTACAATACATGAGTATTGTATTATCTAGTTTTATGGTTAGGAGAATTACAAGGCCACCAAATCCAAAACAATTTTGATCTGCAGAAGGTGAAGACAAAATACAAACTGCCAAGTAAAAAGTAGTAAGAAGGGAATGGAAAAGAAACTAGGAGCTTTTTTATGTGTACTTGCTGCTGTCCTAGGCTCCAAAATCAAATTTAGGTGCCTGACTGCTAAAGCGCAGGATCTGGAATGACAGTTAATTGCCATCAACTGCCAAATAACCACTCCCATTTGACAACATACGAGAAATAAACAAGCATCAAAACTGCATCAACAGCCCTTCAAACTTAAAAAGCAAGGCCTCAGTCACAGGGTCAGTCTAAAGTTACTTAGTAATCCCATGCTCTCCATGAAGTGGGAAAGGACATCAGTGATTAGAATGCAAAGGGGACAGCCCAGAAAATACACTTTTCTGCCGGTACAAATCAATATGCACTATTTATGAAGTTACACTTTTACACAAATTATCTACAAATTACAGCGAGTTAAATGCCTTAGGTAGTCCGCAGGGGGAACACTAGTCCCACCTCATCCCCACAGACACAACCGTATTGATGGGTTTCAGTGAAGTCACAGCCACCTGGTAGGAAGCAATCACTGCTCCACAGCTCCAGCTCAGCCACTGCACTCCCTGCCAATAAATTGCAAGCTCAGTCCAAGGCTACTGCAAAAGCTTTCAAAATACAAGTCACTGGGAGATGAAAACAAGGGAAGAAAAAGCTAAAGGTTTTAATTAACTGTTGTTCCCTAGGACAATTTAAAAGAAAACAACCCTAACCAGGATCGCTTAATAATCATCATGGCTCGAAACCAAGACAGATGACTCTAGAACTTGTGCTGAAGACTGTATTTTGAGCTTGTTGTGAAAATAATCACTAACTGGACCTTAAGCAAGAATCCTGGGTAAGTTAAGGAGTATTAAGTCCTTAGGTAAATCACATCTCTTCTAGATTGAAACTTTTTTCTGTAATGGATAACATTCCCACCTGCCAGCCTCAAGGCCATAAACGCCAGAGACTGCTGCCACAAATTCCACCCTTCCAAGGCATTAATTGTATTTTCCCACACTAACAGATTGGATTTTTTAGAATAAGCACTCAGGTAATTTTCTCATGAGTTTTTAAAGAACTAAAAATTAAAAATACATCTGAAATCCTATGCACATTAATGCTCATACACCTTTACTAGCCTTTTCTGAGAAAGGAAGTTCAGAAATGGACAGGAAACTACCCAAAATACATCCTGATTACAAATAATCATAAAACATGACAAAAATAGACCAGAAATACAAGAGAACACATCCCTAACTGACAGGAGCTAAAGCTACAAGAAGTGCACCTTTTCCACTCGTGAGCACACGGACCAAGGAGATTTAAATTAAAATATTGTCTGAACACAAAAAGGAACTTTTAACCCCAAGATATCATAGTCCAAAAGCAAACTTATCAATTACCAGCCTTTAAAAATTACCATCTTGCATTAAAGCATATTCAGATCTATAAAGCAGATTGCAGATCATCATACCCTGGAACTGGGTGGCAATATTCTCCTCTCTTCCAGCTAAACTTTATTCTGATGTTTCTACTGTTGGCCACCATGAGAAGTAGATACTGGATTACTGCCCTGACGATGCAGGATCCCAAGACCTCATCAAACAAAGCGATTCCTGATTGATGGCAAATTGCTGAAAACATGCCCAAATCCTTCACCAAGCAAGTGAGGAATAAACCAGAACTATAGGCTTTGAACTAAAGGTTACACAGCTCCACTTAAGGGGAGAGTGTCTTAATACATAGTCTCAGTTTATGGATGCTGTGAAATCAAAAACCTCAGATTATTATTCTTACTTCTGTCATATGTGACTGATTTCACACTTCTGGCACACGAACTCCTAAAAGTCCTGAGGCCCTTACGCAAGGGAGACTCCATTTGTGATGGACAGATTTGTGATGTCCTCAAAGACATCAGATTCATTTGCCCTGTCCAGATGCAGCACAATACTAGCTGCTAGTCAAAACATTACAAAATCCCCCCCAAAACAAACCAAAAGAACACAAACAGATCACTTTGTAAGAAAAGTAGCTACAAAGAGCTACTTTATAAGCAGGGTTGAGCAGCCTTTCCAAATAAGTAAATCTCAACTCTCAAAATTCTGCAATATCTTCGGTTCCTCCCTCTCACACACACTCTTAGTACCTGTCGTGATGAATACTGGGCAAGGGCTTTCATTTCCATGGCATAATATGCCATTTAAAGGTGACAAAATATTTCATGACACAGAAAGCCCCAACTCTTCTACAATATAAAGAACCATCTTTAACATGTAAGTTATTTCCACTTTTATTCATAAGAAGCTTCTAGAGAAATAACAATTCTGTTACAAAGATCTTCTTGGTCCCCTTATTTCAGTCTAGTTTTACACTTGTATCCTGTTGGTGAGAAGAACCATCTTCAATGTGATCAAGCATAGACACCACTGAAATTTTTGAAGAACTAACAAGTTATCCACATACCTAAAAAACAATCCATGTTGAGGGAGTCAGGCACTTACTACAGTTATTAACATTCCAAACTACTTCAGCAGGAAAATAATTCTATTAGGGTTGCTGTGCACTGATAAGTCACTTTCCCCATAATTTTTTCTTTCTGCCACTGTATCCTGGAGACCAAACCAATGATCTCCCAGGACTCAATGCTTCTACAGGTCTTATTTAAACTAGAATGTTTATTTAATATGCTAGCTCTGCTTGTGATAATGGCCAGACTAAACTGCACAGAATTGCTGCAGCTGAGGACAGACATAAGGAGTCGACAACAAAGAATGCAACCCTGACTGACATGGTTACACCCAATTCAATACCGACAGAAAACTTTTCTATTTACTACATTAGCACTGTTGCAGTTAGCGTTAGCACCATAAGCAGAACCACAAATAAAGGTTCTGGAGGGGAGAAATGAGATTTAAAAAGCTGTTATGGCACAGTGATGCAGACTATGCAGTCACACTATGCAGACAGCTCAGCACAAAGACATTTCCTCACCCCAGCTCAGTGCATACCACCACCATAACCAGCACTTCCTTCAGGCTGCAGGACAGGCA